GTATTTTATAAAATATTATACAATAAAAATAGGATAAAAGTGAATCTTAGCGCCATCTCTTGAATATCTTTAAAACTATAATTAAAGTATTTATAATTTTCGATAGATGGCGCTCATAGTCAATTCTTATTCTATTATTTTCATTATTTTCTTTGTTATCTATATTAATTTCCTTTATATTCCAGAGATGGCGCTGATTTTCAAATTTTTACCATATCTTTGTTTTTCTTCCATTAATATAAAAATATAAGCATATATATTTTATTCCTGTCAGTACTATAGAAATAATATTAAAATTCATTTCATTTAAAATAGATGACACTACTATTATTTAATATTTGGAATCATGTTTTTAATCAGTTTTATTCTTATTATTTAGAGTGTTAATTTTTAAGTTTGTGCATTGTTAGATAAAAAGACTTTCTTAAAACTTTCTTAAATGTGAATGGAAATAAAATTTCTTGTTTAAATATAAATTTAATTAATAAATTATGATCATAAAAAAAATAATTATAAAATATATACATAAAATTAAAATCAAATCAAAAAATACATGATTCTTTAAATGCATTTAAAGTTATTATTTTTATTATACATTCCTAGATAATGTAATCTTCACATATAAATGTCTTACTTATAAATGCTTTAAAGAAAATAGTTACAGTGTATTTATTTTGAGTGTTCGTTCTTGAATGCCAAATATATAAAAAATAATGTAAATTAACTGATAAATAATTTTTGAATTTGTGAATGTCCTTATTATTTTTTGTGAAAATAAAATAGTGAAATGTTGTGAAAATTTTTTTAAATATTGAATATAAAATATTTAATATTTGATGAAATTTGATACGTTTACGAATAATATAAATTGATTATTGCAATACAATTTTAACATAATAAAAATATAAAGTATACCCAATTACAGAAATTTTTGTTTCAATACGATAAAAGAATAAAGTATAATAAAAATTTGAAAAATATTAAATTGATCTTTTTAAAATAATATTATTTTTTTATAAAAATGCAATATTTTTTGTAAATGTATAAATGAAAATTATAATTAAATGAATAATAAAATATTTTTATAAAATTGATTTATTTAAATTATTTGAATGAAAAATTAATGTATTTGTCATAAAATAAATTGCTTTATAAAAGACAATGGTGTCTTTTATTAATATCAATTTTGTTTTATTTTTGATATCAATTTCATTTTATTTTTATTATTTCAAATGAATGTCATAAAGATATTATAATTTTATCTATTCAATATTTTATCAATAATTTATATTATTGATATTATTATATTTTATTTTTTATTAAATTCTTTATTTAAAATATAATACAAATTTCACTCTTTCTTTTCATCATAAATTTCAATTAAATTTATAAAATATCTTAACTAAAATATTTTTCATAATACAATATAATTAAGTATACAATATAATATAATTTTGTATACAATACAATATAATTTTTTTTGCATAAATAGATATTTCGAGTAAAGATTATTATAATTTTAATTAGTTTCATTATTGATATTTAGAAAAATGTTACCAGCGACATATGTTGAAGGTTTTCATGATTTAGAAGCTGTGAAAACTATGGAATATAGAAAACTTGGCAAAACCGGATTAATGGTCAGCAAATTATCATTTGGTGGCGGACCACTTGGTTGCCATTACGGGTTAGTATTTTTTTCTTTTTTTTTTTAAATACTCATATTAACAAAATAGTATGCAATTTTTTTAACATTTATAAAGAAATTTAATATTTTTAAAGAAATTTAAAAATTCAAAAATAAATTATTAAAGATTGTTTTAATATTTATGATTTTTATCAATTTATATTTTTATTTTGCGATAGTACATTCGATGAAGCTAAAGCAATTGAAGCGATACGTGAAGGAATAAAACGGGGAATTAATTATATTGATACTGCACCATGGTATGGCCAAGGTCGTTCTGAAACTATCATTGGAAAAGTAATTTCATTTTTTTTTGTACATATTAAAAATATATTTTTGTTTCATTTATTTAATATTTAAATATTGGAATTTTAGGCTTTAAAAGGTATTCCGCGTGAAGCATATTATATTGCTACAAAAGTCGGAAGATATGAATTAGATTACGAAAATATGTTTAATTTCTCTAAAGAGAAAACTAGAAAAAGTTTTAACAAAAGTTTAGAACTTCTTGGTTTGAATTATGTTGACGTCATACAAGTAAGTATTTTTGACTTTTTATCAATCAACATATTTAGTTTTTATTTATTTTATTCATTAATTAGTAAACATTTTGCAGGTTCACGATATTGAATTTGATCCAAATTTAGATATAATAATTACGGAAACTTTGCCAGAATTATCATTACAAGTTGCGGACGGTAAAGCAAAATATATTGGTATCACCGGATATCCGATATCCATTTTAAAAAAATGTATCGAGAAAAGCAATATTAATATTTCTTGCATATTAAGCTATTGCAGATATACTTTAATAGATGATACCTTATCTGAATATATCCCATTTTTCAAGGTAAAATTTCGTAATTATTAATAGTAATTATTAATTAATAGTTCTGAATGTTATATTTTTTAATAGCTTAAATTGTTAAATAAATTTTAGGCACACAATATTGGTATAATTAATGCTTCTGCACCATGTATGGGACTTTTAACAAATAAAGGTCCACCAACTTGGCATCCTAGTTCAGAAGAGACAAAAAAAATATGCGCAGATGCTGCTGCATATTGCAAGGTATATAAGTTTTAAATTTTTATGCAATAAATATTTTTCAGAAATTTTTTTTTTATAATGCATATAGTAAAAATTAAAATTTGTAGGATTATGATACAGAATTAGCTAAATTAGCATTATGGTATTCTATGCAATGCAAAGATATTGATACATGTTTAGTTGGAATTCAAAATTTAAAGGAATTATATATGAATATTGATGTATTAAAAAATAGTATTACAAAAAGGGAGAAAAGTTTACTTCAAGAAATACAGAAAAAGTAAGTTTATTATTAAAATAAATAATATTTAATTTTTAATAGATACATTTTAAAAACAATTTCTTGTTATTATTTTATATTTCTTTATATAGATTAAAAAATAAACACTCTTTAAAATTATATTATTAACATACATATAATAATACATATATTTTTATTAATATAAATCTTTTCATTATATCCAAACTTATGAAAACAAATGTCATATATATAAATCTTATAGACAAAATTTTTTCTTACAATATGTCATTTTGAATAATACAGTAGTAATATTTTTTGATATATTTTATAAAATATATAAAATTATATAAAATTATATAAAATTAATTAATATTATTTTATGAATGATTTATTCTAATATGACAATATATATAAATTTTATGTTTATTATCTTAAATTATATAAATATACGTAATGAAATGAAGAATAGAATTTTTCTTGCCCTATTTTTTTATGAACATTATATATATTTTTTCAAATTTTTTTTTATAGATTATAGATTAATATTTTTTATGAATTATAATTTTATTTTATTTAAGAAAATAAATATTATGTTTTATATGCCAATAGTTCTTGTTATCAAAGACTTTTAATATGTGTGATATAAGATTATATCCTAGCTACACATTTTTATGATATAAGTCTCCAGATTTTCTTAATAAAATTTTTATGTGAAATGACAATTAAAATAAAAATTTTTCTTAAAGAAATAATAAGATGATTAACTAATAATATATCAAACAGATCTATGTAAAATTAAAAAATTCATTCAAAATAAAAATTGTAACTTTTTCATAATTAAAAATACATAAAATGATTCTTTTCTTTTCAGATATTTATGCAAAATAACAGAGAAACATTGGGAAAACAAAGAACTTCAGATGTATTGGGAATATATGAAAAAATAGGAAAAATATATTTTTTTATATTATATACAATGATAAACATAATATTGTCATATTTAATAATATTTTAAATTATTATTATGTAATCTATCTTAATTTAGAATATATGTAATACAATATAAAGTATTACATTTATTATATAATATTTTTATAGAATAAACTATAAATGTAATTTTTTTTTAGAAAATACAGAATCAGACTTATGAAATTTATAAAAATTTAGTCCTGTATTTAAAAAAATATTAAATTTAATGCTTATTTATTAAGCATTGATCTAGTGTAAACAGTAGGCACATAATCATCTTCACCAGGTTTAATTTGATATGTCAATTCATACATCAATATAGTTATAAATGAACCCAAAATGGGTTTATGATACATTTGTTGTAATTCAAAACCTTTTTTAAGACATAGTTCTCTTCCTCCTTCTGTATATTCTGAAGCAACAACATTAGCACAACTATACCCTTCATCAATAGCAAATTGCACTGCAACATTTATAAGGCACGAAGCTATTCCTTTTCTTCTATATTGCTGATGTACATATAATCTTTTAATCCATGCACCTTTATCTAATCTATGACTTTTACATAAGGCAACAGTTCCTACAATCTTCTTAACTTGAGATGAAATATCAATGTTTGAATTACGGAACTGTTGTTCTGTCATTATAGTATAATGTATATTCTTTGCAGAATGAGTCATTAAATAAGGTTCAAATGCTTCAGCAATCCAAAAGCATGAAAAGGCATTAGACATGTAAATCCTGTTATAATTAAATGAAGAAGTTTTTACATTAAAATTTATTTTCATCTGAAGTTTGTTTCTGTGGTCAAACTTTTACATGTTATTTTTTTAAACATATTTTAATTATAAGATTTTTAATTATAACAATATAATATATATTTTTAATTTTCAATTTTTAACTTAATTATAATAACATTATCACAAAAAAAAATAAATAAATACAAAAAATTTTTACCTTGGTATATTAGAAACTTCTTCATTAACTTCCATAGCTTTCGCAGTGAAACCTATGTAAGTTCCAACATACACAAAAAAAATGACAAGAGGAATAACTAAAAGGCAAACTGTTAAAGGTAATCCAAAGAAAATAAACATTATAGCAGCAAACAATATCATTAATTGAAAAGTCAATTCTTTAAGTACAATTCCAAAAAATGTTGAATTTAAAGAAGACATCACACCTGCCTTCACTAATTCTTTACAATTAATTTCATCGCCAGGTTTATAACTTCGTATTACTATAATATGACTCATATTGAAAAATATTTATTTATTTTATTCTATTTATACTTTTATACATAATTAATAAAGAAATTCAATATAATATATTACGAGGTTATAATATTTTCGATATTTTCGCCATCTGCAGCTAATACAAATACCGATAGTACCTATACTTAAATGTGATCAACATTAAAAATTTTTTTTTAATATACAAAAATATATAGAAATACTAGAATTTTCAATATTAAATTATTATATAATAAGAAAAGTATAAACAATTTTAAAAATAACCTTAATTGTTTTAAGCCATAACTATCATTATAACACAAATAAATATATATGCATTATTTGTTATTTTTTAATTAATATTATATATTTTTAATTAAAATAACAATATTTTTAATATGATTACAAATTATTTTCTATATTTATTTTTAATAACTATTAAATTTTATTTTTTTATAGTCATATATTTATACATACATATACTTTAATTTATATAATAAATGATAAATTTTTTTTCATTATAAATATTTTCTAAAAATATTTTTTAATAAAATAAAAAATTATGATTTATTATAAAAATATTTAAATTTATAATATAGATAAATAAATAATTTACACATGCATATACGCCTTAAGGTTAGTTGGAAGTGGAAGAGTCAGCGTTCAGCCATTGCAAATTGCAACTCTGTTCCAAAGACGCGTTGTGCGCGAATGATTTATTCCATTTAATTATTTAATTAATAGAATTATTATTTTTTCGTTTGATATCGTTAGAACCATCTAATAAAATAGTGATAATCATGAGCGATCGACCAAGTAATGGTGAATTTAAGTATAAAAGGGATGAAAACTCTGATTCGGAGGCAAAAACATCGTCGGAAAAGGAACGTGATGAAAAGAAGTATCAAGTTGACAAAGCCGGAGAATATGTTCGAGAACTTTTACAAGAAAAAGTTGAATTGGATTCGCAGAAATGGCCTAATGCAACAAGACTAATTGATCAAGGTAAATATGACTGTTATATTATTGTTTTTATTCATTGTTTTTTAATCATTTTTATTATTTGTAATGCGACTGTTTATGTTTCGTTTGTTGCTTGTATATTTATTTTTGTGATTTGTTGATATAACTTCTTGTTGCGCAGTTTTTTTTTTGCTTTGAAATCAAATTGATTGATGGTTAAGGTTAGACTAATATGTAAACGAAAACGAATTATAATTTAATTAATTTTTTTAAAAATTTTTTTCTATTACCTATTTGTACTATATTATTAATTTATGCATTATTAGATTAATCATTTTAGAAATTTATATTATTAGTTGTGTAATATTTATAAATACAAAATATTTAACGACAATTGCTAATTATAAAATAGATTAATAAAATAGTTATTAATTATTTTATTAAAATAGTTTATATTAAAATAAATAATATAATTTTTTGTAATATATGAATTTTTCAAAATAGAATATATTTAATTTAAATAATAAATATTAATGTTAATTTAAATTTAATATTAACTATTATATGTTAAGTTATTATATCTTTATGTATTTTTA